TTGTTGTACAGAATAGGGGGAATAAGTGATGTACAGATATAGGGGTGGGAGTACTAGTATTGTACAGAATAGAGGGAAGAATTGATGTACAGATATAGGGGTGGGAGTATTGTTGTACAGAATGAGGAGGAGAAGTGATGTACAGATATAGGGGTGGGAGTATTGTTGTACAGAATGAGGAGGAGAAGTGATGTACAGATATAGGGGTGGGAGTAAGATGCTAACGAGGAGTAGTAGGGATGTACAGACCAAGGGCTGGTAGTTTTACAAAGATGGGGGGAGGGGTACAACAGCAGAGTGTGAAGTGGAAAGGATGAGAAACTATGTAACTGAGAAGTAATGAGTAATCATATCTTTATGATTACTGGAGTAATCTCTCATATAAATATGATAACTGTGCAGGAGCAATGAACTAAACAGCCTGGTAATTAAGACGTTAATTGGATTTCTTCAAGCTGCTCCTTCTGGGAAAGCATGGTAATTAATAGTCATTACTGAGATGTGTAGTTTACCTTACTTACTCGGGGACATGTGACATGTCGCATCCACACTGTGGACATTCTACCTAATTTACTCATTAGGTCTCGTTGCCACGTAATTTAGTATTTGTTTCTTCCTGTAAATATTCTTCCTGATTCCCAGCTGTAGTGGAAGGCGTATCCTTGGATGGATAACATGTCCTGTGTAGCACTCAACTTTACCTACCTCCAGGTGTTCGACATTGAATTTCTACTTGGAGCTTTTTCCTGGTACTATTTCTCTATTTGGGGTTTCTACCTGGCGTGGAACTGTTTCTCCATGTGAGGTTTCTAACTGGTCGGATACTATTTCTCAACATAGGGTTTCTAACCGGCGAGCTACTATTTCTCAACATGGGGTTTCTAACTGGAGGGCTACTATTTCTCCATGAGGGGTTTCTAACTGGTGGGCTACTATTTCTCAACATAAGGTTTCTACCTAGCGGGGTACTATTTCTCAACATGGGGTTTCTACCTAGCGGGGTACTATTTCTCCATGTGGGGTTTCTAACTGGCTGGGTACTATTTCTTAACTTGGGGTTTCTACCTAGCGGGGTACTATTTCTTAACATGAGGTTTCTACCTGGCGGGGTACTATTTCTCCATGAGGGGTTTCTAACTGGCTGGGTACTATTTCTTAACATGAGGTTTCTACCTGGCGGGGTACTATTTCTCCATGAGGGGTTTCTACCTGGCGGGATACTATTTCTCCATGTGGGGTTTCTACCTGGCGGGATGCTATTTCTCCATGAGGGGTTTCTAACTGGCTGGGTACTATTTCTTAACTTGGGGTTTCTACCTAGCGGGGTACTATTTCTTAACATGAGGTTTCTACCGGGCGGGATACTATTTCTCCATGTGGGGTTTCTAACTGGCTGGGTACTATTTCTTAACATGAGGTTTCTACCTGGCGGGGTACTATTTCTCCATGTGGGGTTTCTACCTGGCGGGTTACTATTTCTCCATGTGGGGTTTCTACCTGGCGGGCTACTATTTCTCCATGTGGGGTTTCTACCTCTACTATTTCTCTGGTGGGTTTCTACTACTATTTCTCCATGAGGGGTTTCTAACTGGTGGGCTACTATTTCTCCATGTGGGGTTTCTAACTGGCGGGGTACTATTTCTCCATGTGGGGTTTCTAACTGGTGGGCTACTATTCCTCCATGTGGGGTTTCTACCTGGCGGGGTACTATTTCTCCATGTAGGTTTCTACCTGACGTGGTACTATTTCTCAACATGGGGTTTCTACCTGGCGGGGTACTATTTCTCAACATGAGGTTTCTACCTGGCCAGGTACTATTTCACCATGTGAGGTTCTACCTAGCGGGGTACTATTTCTCAATTTGGGGCTTCTACCTGGCGGGGTACTATTTCTCCATGAGGGGTTTCTAACTGGTGGGCTACTATTGCTCCATGTGGGGCTTCTACCTGGCGGGGTACTATTTCTCCATGTGGGGTTTCGAACTGGTGGGCTACTAATTCTCAACATGGGGTTTCTAACTGGTGGGGCACTATTTCTCAACTTGGGGTGTCTACCTGGCGGGTAACTATTTCTCAACATAGGGTTTCTACCTGGCGAGGTACTATTTCTCAACATGGGGTTTCTACCTGGCGGGGTACTATTTCACCATGTGGGGTTTCTACCTAGCGGGGTATTATTTCTCAACTTGGGGTGTCTACCTGGCGGAGTACTATTTCTACATGAGAGGTTTCTAACTGGTGGGCTACTAATTCTCAACATGGGGTTTCTAACTGGTGGGCTACTAATTCTCAACATGGGGTTTCTAACTGGTGGGGCACTATTTCTCAAGTTGGGGTGTTTACCTGGCGGGTTACTATTTCTCAACATGAGGTTTCTACCTAGCGGGGTACTATTTCTCAACATGGGGTTTCTACCTAGCGTGGTACTATTTCTTAACATGAGGTTTCTACCTGGTGGGGTACTATTTCTCCATGAGGGGTTTCTAACTGTTGGGCTACTA